ACAAATCTGTTTTACTTGTATTTTTCCCATAAGAAGTTAGAAATATTGATTTCTTTAATTGTTTAAGGAACAAATAAGGACTTTTGGTTATGAACATTCATTCTGTGCGATTGGTATTATTTGTTCGTGAATTTATGAGGTAAGAATATCAAAGTATTAAAACATTTACTCTCAAAGTTCATATTTTAAGGTTATGTTATGCTTTGTTTAAAACTTAATTGTTTTTCAATATAAGGTTGAATGTTCGAATAAATGAACTTTGATGGTACACAAGGCAAATATCGAACACAGTACTTAATTAAATCTTAATTAAATCAGGTCTCCGACTTCTATAATATAAAAATGTAGCTTCTCCAATTTAAATTTTAAAGTGTTTGTTTGTCTTTAGTGTATTTGTTATGTCCCAGTTTACATGTATGACATTCCATTATTGCTGGATAGGCGACAATTGACGAAATGCCCCTGAGGATGATCTTGTGATCGAAAGTACTTGGGCAAGATTTAATTAAGTACTGTGTTCGATATTTGCCTTGTGTACCATCAAAGTTTAATTGTTTTTCTTTATTTCAAGGTATTGTCTTGTTGTTTCTATCAGGGTTATTTCAAAATGAATCAATAAAACATTGAATTTATTTAAGAAGTTGAAAAATATATAAAATAATGTTTTATTCTTTTTTAGGTGCCAGTAATTTGATCCCATAAAAAGACTAAAGATATTCGTTTTGTGGTCAATAAGACTGTAGTTTAAGTGGTGAATAAGGACTGTTATTTTATAATTACATCCATCTAATTAATAAAACGGTTATGTGCTTTGCTCTAAGCTATACAGATTACAGTGAAGTACAGTGAGTTACAGAAAAAACATGCAAGTTTTTGTATCGTCATCATCATCAGTAGCTCGACGACCCTTTCTGGATCCTGGCTTGTTCTAGGATTTTCCGCCATTTTGTTCTGTTCCTTGCTTTGTTTTTCCAGTTGGTGATCTTATGTGTTTTCAGATCTTGTTCCACTTGTTCCATGTATCTAAGTTTGGGTCTTCCCTTTGACCTTTTCCGTACTGGTGTTTGCCTCATTATATGTTTTGGTGTTTCAGTCTCCAACATCCGTTCAATATGGCCCATCCAGCGCAGACGTCCGATTTTTATGGATGTTATTATTTCGGGTTTATTGTATGCTGTGTATAGTTCAAAGTTATATCTTCTACGCCATATGATATTTTTCTTCACCCCCCTTATATATGTGCCTAAGAATTTTTCCTTCAAACGTACCTTTCGACAGTGTCCATGTCTCTGATCCATATACAAGGACCGGTTTTATCAGGGTCTTGTATATTTTACATTTGGTTTTTTTTGTGATGTTGTTAGATCTTAGATGTTTAATTAGTCCATTATATGTTTTATTAGCGATATGTATTCTTCTTTTAACTTCTTCACTGACATAGATATGTAAAATTTTTCACGCTTTCTATGTTATAGTTTCGTATTGTCAGATTTTGTAAATTTCTTTGGCTTGTCGATTTACTGGCCTTCATGTATTTGGTTTCTATTTCGTTAATTTTTAGGCCACTCTTTTGTGGTGCTCTTTCTATCGCATTTAATGCTTCTTCCATCTCTCTTTCGCTTCTAGCTATGATATCAACATCGTCTGCAAATGCCAATATTTGTACACTTTTTGTTATTATTGTTCCTCTGGTGTTGACTTTTGACTCCCTAATTATTTTCTGTAATGTGAGGTTGAATAGAATACAGGATAGGGCATCTTCCTATCGTAGACCCGTTCTCACATGGATTGTATCTGTTAGTGCGTTTTGAATTCGAATTTGGCTTTGTACTTTAAGTGTTCTATCATATTTGAGAGTGCCTATCATAGGCACTCTGATGTCTATGATAGGCACTATATCTGAATCAATGAAAAGATGATGTGTGTCTATATTAAATTCACTTTTCCAAGATTTACCTCAAGACGAAGATCTGATCTATCGTGGACTTCTGCCAGCAGAAACTACATTGATATCCCCCAACTATTTGTTCCGCATATCGTCTTAATCGGTCATACACAATATTTGACAGTATTTTATATGCCACAGTTAGTAGCGTTATTGCCCGGTAGTTTTTACATTGAATCTCCCTTTTTATGTAATGGGATAATTACTCCGGTATTCCAGTTTTGTGGCAGTTGTTTATTATTCCGTATGTTCACTATTAGTTACTGTATCGCATTACTAATACATTACAATAACATTACATCCCTAATAGGGAGTCTCCACCTTCCTTTATTAATTCTGCGCTAATGTTGTCTAATCCAGGTGACTTGTTGTTTTTCAGTCGGGTCCTTGCACTGCTTCTTGCATTTCAGCTACTGAAGGGGGGGGGTTGTTTCTCTGGTATCCGTTTGATCCACAAACTTTTCGTTGAAAAATTCTGTCCATCTTTGTAGATTTCACTCTGTTGAGTTACTGTATCTCCTTCTTTGTCTCTGCACATCATTGTTCTTGGTTTAAATTCTTTTCTGCTTTTGTTAAGTTTTTGATAAAATTTTCTGGTTTCTGATGGATTATTTAGTTCTTCCATTTGTTGGAGTTCTTTTCTATGTGTTCTCTTTTCTTTCTGCGATGTATTTTCTTCTCTTCCCTCCTTAGCATTCTATATTCCTCCTCTTCCTGTCGTTGTTGTAGTCGTTGACATGCATTATTTTTCCGCTCTGTTATGTTACGACACTTTTCATCGAACCACTGTCCTTCATTTGATGTGAGTTTTTTTTTTTGTAGACCCAGGGTCTCTTTGGCCGCGTTTTATATGATGTTTTTACACGCTTCCCATTATCTGTTTATTATATGCAAGTTTTTGTATTCCCTTCTAAAATTTTAGAGAGACAGAAGTGGATAAATCTCACGAAGTAAAAGTAGTTGTTAGTTTGTTTTCATATTGCTTATATGTCAGATATTCCGTGATTGTCTTTTCAGATTTATACTATGTATCTGTCATGATCTTTAAAGATAATTTAAAATGTAATTGTGCTATTTGTATGTCCGGCTACAATTATCGATTTACATTAAAATAACCCTAATAAAAACAACAAAATACCTTGAAATAACAAAAAAATAATTAAAGTTTTAATCAAACATAATATAACCTTAAAATATGCACTCTGACAATAAATATCTTAATACTTGGATATTCTTACCTCACAAATTCACAAACAACAAATAATCAATGTTCACTACCAAAAGTCCATATTTATTCTTCAAACAATTTAAAAAACAATATTTTCAACTTCTTATGGGGGAAATACACGCAAAACAGATTTGTTTGGAAAGGTTTCCTAAGCCCCGCCCATTGTGACGTCAGACGGAGACCATCACCACTATTAATCACTTTTAAAACATTCAATATTCTTTTATAAACAACATTTTTTAGATAGCTTAAAGACATTTAAAAAATGAAACTTTATAGAAGAAAAAAGAATTTACTTTTTATCAATTTAATGTAAATTCAAGAGTATTTTTTACGAAAGTTTAAGGTTTTGTAAAGATGGTGCCTGGACATTATCTGGAGTTTAAAAAAAATGACAAATGGCATTTGACAACACAATTGACAGTTTAAAAAGTACAATTGACAGCTACATCCGCCATACTGAAGACCGTTATCCTAATAAGTTCCGAAACATTCAATTTCCATTTGTAAAGCACCTTTTCTAGCGAGAAAATCAGACTTTACAAAAGCAAAATGCAAATATTATAACAAATTTTCTGCCAATTCAATGTAAATCTAAGAATAATTGATTAGAAATCTGGAAAGTGGAACATTAATGTTATTTGACAGCTGAAAAACTTGACAAATCTAATTTTTCAGCTAAATTAACATATGAACAAACAATTGACAGATGTACCCGTCACTTATTACCGTTATTGATAAATTCCAAAATGTCCAGTAATATTTTGCGAAGAACCTTTTGTAAAGAACCTAGATTTTTAATAAAAATGAACTTTTTATACGAAAATTATCGGTTCTTGAATAAAATATTTAATTTGTACTAATAAATATTCCAAAAATAATCAAATATGGTAGGAATTTTGTGTGTGAAATAGTTCTTCCTATAAAATAGTAAATGATTTCACTATTATAGGACCAATAATGAGAAAACTGTTGCAGTGAGGTGCAACGATGAATGTCCTTTTGTCCTGATGTCTACTCTATCTGAGAATAGTGAAAAAGTCCATCAAATGACCTTGAAATATTTTAAATCGATGAAAAAATTTAACGAAGGTGACTTAAAGCCTGTATACGAAGTAATGTAAAACGATTTTTGACTTGAGTAGTGAAACACTTATTTCCCTTCGTCATTCAATTTAAAATTTGTGTATGGTAAAAATTATATTATATCAATTATGATACAATGGAAGAAAAATTGAAGATTTCGTACAAAAAACTCCTGAATTTATCTTCAACCTTGGTATTTCCTTAATATTTACTTCAGTTGCTGTCTCTCGTGTGCATATACTCTGTGTGTATACTCATTTGCCTTTTTCTACTGTTCGTGGAAAAAATGTAGATACCTTTCACTCATTTTACCAAGAAATGATTATTCATATTATTAACACAAATACATTTACTTTAACAGCCCTACTAAACAAACTATATGTCTAATGGCATTCGCATTTGGTATTTAGGTACTTTAGGACCATATGTGCCAACAAAGCAAACATTAATTTTATTTCTGACAGCGCCATCTACGAGAATTTTTAACGATTAAACCGAGAAGTTTTCTGGTATGATCGACAATTAAAAAGCATCGATTGTTACAAATTACTAATTTTTAATTAGTTCATTTGACATGAGATATTTGTAAGAAAAATGATCATATTTATTATTTGTAGACCTCTAGAGCTTGAATAAATATTTCTTAACAAAACAGACACATTTACAATCTTATGAAAAATATAGAATTAATAAAATAGAACAACCAACAACTCAGAGAAATTTTTTAGGAACAGTCTTAATCATTTGAAATTACGCTAAATTTTCTATGATATAGCTACTTTACTCAAATATTTAAATTAAAAAAAAAAACTTATTGTGTCTTAAATACAAAAACTTCGAACGTTTTTTTCGTGAGAGAAAAAAAGAAAGTTTTTCTATTCGCTTATTCAGTTTTATTTTGATACGATGCTCTGTGAGGGGGTCGTTTGAAAAAATCCAAACTACCGACATTTTTTTAAAGTGTCCAGCACGGTTTTCTAAGTACGTAGAGTTTCACTTAAAGCTAAGTAGTGATTAAGCAAAAAATACTGTCTGTAGTATACGAGAGCCCGCCACCCAAGCTTATAAGGCACATTTTCAGTGGTCCCCCCTAAGGAGCTCCATCAGGAGGTTGAAACTGGGTCCATCTCCGTCTTTTGATTTTATCGTCAATAATTCTTTACCGACCTACAACATAAAATTGGTTTGTTAATCATAAGTAAATGTTATCATATCAAATCGAGAATTACAAGACTTATGACATTTAATGACCTATCATGACATATAAAAACTAGATCAGAAACGTCCAAATAGTAGCGCACCTAAATTTTCCTCTGGGGGGAGGGCAGGGGTTTTGGTTCGGCACTGAAATTTTTTATGCCACCTCCACCATTTTAAGTCCTTAAAATTTGTAAATAACAGTGTCGGAATAGGGTTCTGGGTTTTGGGGGTTAAAACCCCCCTGAGTGCGCCACTGCGCACCAAAACCAAAAGATCAAGGCATTAGTAACTTTAATAAAAGAGAAAAAGTGTAGGGAACACATTAACGTCACGATATATACCACTATATGCTATTGGAAAACGAGAACGACGTTATAAGCAAGGAGGTTTCCTTAGAGTAGCGGTCATCATAGGAAATTTCAGCTTCAATTTGCATGAGTTGTTCCTTTTTACCAGACAGTTACCTCTGTCTTCAATAAGGTTCCTGACATTAGTTAGAGGGGACTGAATAGGGACAAATACGTCACAAAAAATGTTTGAAGTATTTCCGTTTTTGTGTTTTATTTTTTTACAGATTTAAATGAATATTTTAGTAAATTCAAATAGCTTGCTTTGTATATATTTTGTTAATTTTACTCATAAACATAAAAACAAAAAATTTTTACGTCTTTTGTGTCATATATGAAACGTTTTTTAAGGATACATATATTGAGTGAGTGAGATACAAACTCACATACTTTATTACCTGACATGTTCTTTGTAGTTCGGGAATCCTTAAAAGTAGTTCGCCAAATTTAGCCGGACTTTCCGGATAATGAGATAAAGTATAATCTTGCAAGGCTTTTAGGGCCTTTTCTTGGGACAACCTAACTTTCTCAGCTTCCCTTAACTCGGAAGTGTCTGTAACGAAAGCATAAAAACAAACATAAAAATGACAAACAAATAAATATATCAAGTAATCATTTAAGCGCCAAATAAAATACGGTCTTTTTGTTAAACTGTTTGTTTGAACTGTTGGCCGTTGTCTTCCGAGATTAGTTCTGGACGTTTCGCCAACACTAGGGGCATCTTATGGAGATGTTACTGCTTCGATTGTAAACTCAGTTTCAGCTATATTTTCATATGATATACGAGAAATATCGCATAAACTATAATATCTCGTATTTTGTAAAAAAATGAATGTCTTACCTGAAGTAAGTAGTACTATAACCTTCATAGCGATATACTCATATTGATCCACTCGCAATCTTCGCAGTTGCTCAGTAAAATTAAGCATTCGCTCTATACACGCCTGCATACCCATTTCTCGCGACTGAGCCAACGTTATACTCTTCCCGAGGGATATTCTGATTTCTCCAGGTGTGGACATCGACCGAAAACAACACGAGAACAGGAGTAATTCGCACCAGGAGTTGATCAGGAGACATATTTGATCGTCAATCTAAAATAAAATGTATAAATATTCTATTTTTGATATTTTCTCCAGAAAAATACAAAAATTTTGACAAAATGGAGGAACCGCATACTCACCGAAATATTCTTGAACAACGGAAGACTCTTGCACCATTTGACGATTTTGTAGAGCCGGTGATCGGCTATATTGCAGAGGTTCGCCACGAAGTCGGGACTCGTGTCTGCCGAACCAGCCAGTGCCGTCCCGGCCAAAAGGGGGTGAGTGGAGAGATTGTGAACCGCCCCGCTCGAACCTTCTTTGCCCAGATGACCGTCGGTATACAGCTTGTTCAGCTCGGATTCGTTGTAGTGCCATAAGTGTTCGACTTCCATTATTTCCTTCCAAATTAAATTTTAAAATAAAATTCTATACTGTATTCATTATAAAAATTCAATACTACAATCAAAATTCTTCACACTAGAATTTATTAAGAAATTAACAATATCGCAGATTTCATGACTGAATCTTCCAAAGCTTTATATAAACAAGGTGACTGCTTTAAATATCTGTGCGACAAAATTTCCTACACTTTCTGTAGACGATTTTCTTGGAGAGTCTCCAAACTATAAAGAAATTGTAGCCAACATGGTCGAAAATTATAAAGAACTTGGACGCAATATGAGCGTCAAACTTGAATTTCTGGATTCCCACGTTGACTATTTCCCCGAAAATCTTGGAGCTGTCAGCCCACACCTTTATAGATATTATATCTTGTGAAAATTGTGAAATAAAAAAATATCTATGAGATAATAAAGACTAAATTTTATTCGTGGTTTTTAAAAGGATTCGACCAATTCAACCAGACTAAATTTTAATTATGGTTTTTAAAAGAATTCGTCCAATCTGAGCGTTAAGTGATCCTGCGTAGACACTTTTCAAATTGATGATCCGATATCGGAGACATCCATCCGCATGTGAATTCTTAAAAAGGCACGTTTATATACGAATATTAGTTGATTAGCAACCAAATATACATTTCTTTCCATATGAACTTAATACCAAGTACTGCAAATTTAAATTTGCCGATGTTTCATTTGGATTGGTGATTGGTCGCGAACTGTACACGGCGAACGCGGGATGAAATGTTATTTCATATAAGAACGTAAGTAGTAAAGTGAAGTGATATTCAGCGCACGAACTAGCCTTTCTTTTTGTGATTTATTTTTATTTTCTAAAGTAATACTGTGATACGTTACGGTCTGCCGTAAATAGTTAAAGGTTAAAGGGTTTTTTGACATATTAGAAGTTTTTTTTTAAATTAAAGTGTAAACAAATTCAGGTAAATTAACCTAAAAAATGCAAGCCATGGGAGAAACTGTAAGTATTGATAAGTCTGATATTGTAAATTATATTTTGCATAATGGGTTTTCATCTATTTCATACGAAGAACAAATTGTTATTAAAAATAAGGGCGTCCTTTGCCTAAAATGTCCCGGCTTATAAATATTATTGCGGGTAAGGGAAGTAATAGATCATTTTCAGATAATTGGTACAGCAAGTACTCATGGCTTACGGGAGTGAAATAAAAAACAAACTTTTCTGTTGGCCTTGCATTTTATTTTCGACAAATAGTGGCAAACATCAAAATCCGTGGTGTGAATCTGGTTACGATAATTTAAAGGAATTGTTTAGGGCATTTACATAAACATGATATTTCGAAAGGTCACACTTAGAGCCAGATTAAATTAGATTTATTTGGAAAACAAAATATCTATGTTTCATTAGATAATGCCCAACGTGAAAATGCTATTAAACATAACGAAATTGTAAAAAATAATCACGCAGTTTTACGTCGTTTAATTGATATTGTAATTTTTTTAAGTTGTCAGGAATTATCTTTTAGGGGACACGATGAATCGGATCATTCGTTAAATCAAGGTAATTATACAAAATAATAAAAATGTTTAAGAAATACTATTTGGAATTTTCTAATTTACTTTCTGATTCGAAGACATTTAGCGGTATATCTAAAGCAATCCAGAATGAATTAATAGAATCAATTAGTTACATTTGGAGTAACGTTATTGAATCTGAGATTCAGGAAACCATTTGCTTTTCACTAGAAGTAGATGAAACTGCCGACATATCATCTCATTCACAATTATCAATTGTTGTTCGATACGCGTTACGTGGTAATATCTATGAGAGGTTTTTAGGTTTTAGGGACGTGAGTAAAAGCCATAAGACAGAATATATGTTTGGTGTATTTTTTATATCAAAAATAAATTGGTAGGGCAAACTTATGACGGCGCTGCCGTGATGTCTGGTGAATTAAAGGGTCTTCAGGCAAAAGTTAAAACTATTGCACCGCAAGCTTTATTTACTCACTGTCATGCGCATAGAATGAATTTAGTTTTGCAGGATACATGTAAAAAAATTAAAGAATGTCGTCTTTTTTTTGTCAGTTTAAGCGGATTTGCTTAATTTTTCTCAAGCTCGTCTAAACGGACTAATGTTTTAGAACGGTTTGTTTCGAAAAAAATGCCAACAGTTTGTCAGACGCGATGGAATTTTAAATCTCGGTTAGTTTTCACTGTAGCAGATTTTCGTGAACAGCTTTTGGAAGTTGTTGATTTTATTATTGAATGTGACGATTTTGAAAGTGATAATATCTCGATCCGTGAAGCAATCGGTTTGAAAACTTTATTAAATGATTATTCTTTTAACATACTTTTAAATATTTTTAAGAAAGTGTTTATCCAAACCGATTTGATATTCAATTTTGTTCAAAATCAGTTAACTGACATTATTGATTCCAAAAATAGAATAACAAGACTGATGCAAAATCTCACGAGATTTTCGTAATGATAGTAATTTCCAGTATATACGCAGTGACGTTTTGGACTCGTTTGATATTTCCGAACCCCCAAAAAAGACAAAGGCATGACACAGAAACAGACCTCGAAAAACGAGTGTATTTTGAAATTTTGGATACTATTATTATGGAAATAGATACTCGTTTTTCGAATTTTGAAGATTTGCAAATTTTTGACCTCTTTGACGATTCAAAATTTAAAAGTTACGCCAAAGAATTTCCAAGATATTTATTAGACAGGTTAATTAAAAATTATCCATCATTATTTAATAAAATAAAATTAGAAAATAAATTAAAAGTTTTATATGCGATCCAAATATTTTCGGAAGATGGGATAAGTTACAAGATATGTATAATTATATATACTGCATTTCATTACAACAAACTGTTACCGAAATTAATAAATTATTGTCATTAATTCTCTCATTACCACCAACGTCTGCCTCAAATGAACGAGATTTCTCTTGCCTCAAAAGAATCAAAACGTATTGTCGAAATATCATGAAACAAGAGAGAATGCCAAGCTTGTCTCAAATGTCAATAGAAAAAAAAACTTTTAAAATGTCTCCAAAACTCTAATAATTTTACGATGACGTTATTACCCATTTTGCTACTTCCAAACAACGTAGACTAGAGTTAATTTATAAACATGTTTAGGTTCTAAATTTATAGGAAAAACCAAAAAACAAGAAAACAAAAAATCTCCTATGATGATTGAAGTCTTTATTAGACGGTATACCTATCTGAGGAGACAAAAAATACCTTGCCGACCTTGTCTCTCAAGCCACGAGTCGCCACTGTCAGGGAGAAGTTTTCATAAAGATATAAAGGAGAAGGAGAGTAGTTACCAAGGAAGATGGGAAAAGTTGCCCAATTTCGCTACACTGTAGACATGTTAAGACATATGTCAAATTCTATATTTAATATCGATACCCCTGTACGTACTATTAGTCAAATAGATTTAATACATGTATGTAAATACAAAAAAGTTACCTGTAATAATGGAGGAACACCTTTAGATCCAGGAAACATGCTCCTCTTAGCAGAAGTCACCTGAGGATCGGGCGGTTCCAACTTGACCGTTAGACTCTGATGACCTTCGCCCATTTGTCGCAGATCCGTCGTACTGGCTCTCAATTCGGAATGGTTGGCAAGTGAAGGCGGCAGCGAGTAACTGCACTGATACGTCGATCTGCCGCCTCTCGTTCTGTCCTCTCTTATGGCTTCTAGCTTCATCCCGCACTGTAGACACTTTTCGAATCGACAAGCGGGACATTTTTTCCTCGTTGCTACGGTTACGGGACATTGGGCGCCTCTTAAACATACGTAGTTTTTTCTGTTTTGTACCGTTCTCTTGAAGAAACCTTTGCACGATTCGCAACTGAAGATGCCGTAGTGGAAGCCTGAAATTTTGTCGCCGCAGATTGGACAAGGGCTGTTGATAAGCTGCAAAAAAGAATGTAAATACATAAAAAAGCAAAGAGAATATAGAGCATTCAATACCACTAACGAAGAGATTGATTGATTAGAACAGAAATCAAGATTCTAGGAATTATCAGAGGAATTTTATTTAAGACGCAATAAAGAATCAGGACACAGTGACACACACGGGACTTAAAGGTGTTGTGGCGGATTAAACAAATTAATACTATTACAAATTAACAGTAATTAAATTAATACCAGCTATTTCTTCGATAGCTCGGGCAAGATGAATGAACTTTAACTCATAGATGAAAAACATGATACTATGGCTTTCAAGATAAAACCACTTGGCAATCGAATTTTGTACGTCGATGCGCATGACGTCAATTGGTGATAAAAGTTCACCTTTAATTTAATATTCTGAAATATATTCCTTAGCAGGATGAATTCCCGAGCGGTACCAGAAGGATCGGGTGAATACAGGGAAGGACAAATGTATTGATTAGTTTATACAACCATATATGAATTTAAACAGGTGTGATGGAGATCCAACAAGGAGTTGGAGATCAAGACTAAAGCAAACCTGGGGGGGGGGCGGCGCCTTGACCACCTGCAGTGAAACTTATTGAGAAACGCAATTATGTAAGCAGACTCCAAATAGGAATAGAGTCAAAGAGAATGAGGATTATGAAAATGTATAAAAATAATGTAATATAAATATATACAAGATGAAGCATACGATACTGAAAAATAAGGCAAACGTTTACTGAAAACTTAAAAAAAGTAAAGTATACCTGTTGCCTAGATATTCCTGGCTGGGCTGGAAGAGATGCATGTATTATACCAGACTTATCTTCAGTTTCATCCAAGGTGTCTTGTTCTGTGGAATACTGTAAATTTTCATCCTGCAAACTTCTGTATATGTAACTGTGTTGATGTAGTGGGCTGCTATGAAAGTTCGGCATATGCCGACCCTGTAAAAAAGAATAAATATGAAACAAATTGTTTTTAATATTAGCAGAGTAAGTAGAGAAACTAAAAAAATAAGCTTAAGGAAGAAATTTAGAGAAAAATTAATCAACAATATGAAAATGCTGACATCGGCCATAATAGACATTCATTTTCTATAAACTTTTAAAAGCAGCTGTATGAAACGTTTGATTAATTTTGAAAATGTGTTGAGAGTTCGGCGATCTTGTTTACTTTCTTCTTCAGCCTTCATTTATCCAATGTTGGACATAGGCCTGCTCCAATTGCTTCCACGCTTCCCTATCTTTTGCAATTCTCATCCACTGCTTTCCAGCTACAGCAGTTATATCGTCTATCCATCTCTTTTTAGGTCTTCCCATGCTTCTTTTAGTTTCTCGAGGTCTCCAGAATGTCATTTTATGAAACTATCTGTTGGTGTCTTGTCTTGCTACATGTGCTACCAATTGCTATCTCAATGTTTACTTTATAACCTCAAAAATAATTGTTTAAATACTTTTACTCATTATATTAAATACATATTATTGTGATATTTAAAGTCTTAGTGCGCCAAGCAATTAATTAGCTAATTAATTAATTAATTAAAATTATTTAAATGGTATGATTATGACTCTATCACACTTTTTAATTCTCTTATCTCAGGGTTATATTCGTGCTTCAATATCTATGCTATTACATGTGAGAGGTAAGGTCCAAAAAGAAGTATCTAACATTATATATTGAAATAAAAATAATGAAATAAAATACACACTCAAATGTTTTCAATAAACAATATCTCATATAATGATTCTCAAAATTTTGTTCTACGTACGTGAATCTTCAAAATTATTGGTACAAACAATATTAGTTAAAATCTCAAAATCCCAATTATTATTCTAAATCTCCTAATCAAAATATTTATATCTTTTCTAAAGTAAGTGTAAAAATTGTGTTATCAATAAAAGAAAAAATGCAGAAAACAAAACTATCTCTCTCTGATGATGAGTGGTCCAAATCCTTGTTCCTTGTAGACTATACTATCTACTCTTAGCAGCTCCCTAGGTAATCAGCAATCTTACAACAAATTGTTGCAAGTTTATCGTCCTTTATGATCTCCTTCAAATGCACGAATCGTTCAAATTATGCTAGCCTCTCCTCCTCTCAATAAACTGCATCTCTCGTTTGCCTGAGTGAAAAATGACTCTTGGAATATCTTCTCTTTACGATAAACTGAATCTCCCGTTGGCCTGAACAGTGACTATTGGAATATAAGTAGAAAAATATGACTTACAATCTCTTACTGGATCAGCTTCTGTCAGATACACTAACTACACGAAAACTCACAAACTTTCACTGCTACTGCTTCCTACCTCTGGGAAACTACCCGAGAACAACGGCCGTTCGCCTTGCACCCTTGGAAACCAACTGACTATCTTTTTTTTCTTCAAAAACTAACTAAAGTCTTATTCTCAAACCAACCATCCCACCTTTTTCACTCTTATCCAATCAAAACGCGTCATACATCTCCCATTTCTTCATTTCGATAACACACAAATTTTTACCTACAATTATAAAATTTCCTAAAACTTATTTACAAAATAATCTTTTCCTACCAATTCTTAAGAACTAACAAAAACATATCTTTCTAAAATCTATTCTATTGTCCTAATTACTGCACAACATTTATTTGGAAAAACCGCTTCCATTGTCTAGGATTTCACTTAAGCTTATGCAGGTCACTCAAATATATTTTAACAAGGAAAATAATTTATGCATATCTTACGTTTTGTTCAATACAGGTAATCCAAAAATTTAAAGACTTTCCTTCTTCGAAATGTTTGTTGTTTATTATCCTACTTACCTGAATTATTTTAATTTTTTTGGAACTTTGAAATATTTTAAGCAAACCAATATTTTTCTCGATTTTACATATCATAACAATATATACAAAATATATACAAAATTTCGACCAAAAGCCTCGGAACACAAAGGATGGATCAAAACAAAGACGACTAATGCAACGGAAAAGGAAAATGATGTTGGCTACATGGAATGTACAAGGACTTCGAACCAAACAAGCAGAAATATTCAAATAATTAGCGGAAAGAATAATAGATATATGTAGAATCGAAGAATATAACTGTAGGGTTAGATATAAATTTATGAGTCTTAATGAGATATCTAGAATCCTTTTTACGCTACAATAACATTAGTTTCTTAATATTGTATATGTTACAAAAATTAAAATGAATTAAGAAAGATTTACAAAGATATCAGCTACTAATTACAATATCTGCTGGCCTTCGTCTTTACACAAAAAAGAACCAATTAACTCCCGGTGATCCTAGAGATGAAATTATCATTATTTAATATCCTGTTATTAACAAACAGCATTATAGATTTGTTAGATACACATCACCGTAATTGTAATAACCTGAACTGGTTGCAACAATTATATGAGCATTAAGAAATAGGAAAGTCGCTGAAGTGTATAAAATATAATTAATTATTTTCATTATCATTATGCTATTGATTGCGGTTGTGAATGCAGCAACTTGGTTGGTCGACAGTGTTGGACTTTCTTGTCCTGATGTGAAGAAATTCACGTAAAATATGTAATGTTTGTCTTTTCAATCTTGTCTAACAAAATGTCCTTCATTATATCATATTTCACCCAGATAACAAATATTAGTGCCTTGCCAGTTTTCGAATTTCTCTTAAATAGTTTATTTTTTTATAAGCACAGATTTTCTATCGTATTAGATATGATCGACCTCAGGATCATATCAAATTTATACTACAAACAGCGAGCAAAAGTATGTGTTAACGAACAGCTGTCAGAAGAAATTGAAATTAAACGTGGAGTAAGACAGGGATGCGTATTGTCGCCAATTCTTTTTAATGCCTACTCCGAATAGATCCTGAAAAAAGCTTTTGAGAGTGAAACAGCTGGAATAAAGATAAATGGAGGACCAATTAACAATATTAGATATGCGGATGATACTGTGGTCTTAGCCGAAAATATTGAATATCTTCAGAGATTGGTGACCAGTAATGCAAAAGAGTACGATCTAACAATGAACGTCAAGAAGAAATTTACGAGAATATCGAAACTCAAAGAAATAACGAAAATCTTCTAATAAACGGAACCAACGTCGAACAAGTGGACAAATATGCATATCTGGGAACAATTATTAACTCCACAAATGATTACAATCAGGAATCAAGGTCAGAATAGAAAAGGCTAGAGCAAATTTCAACAAAATGGGAAGAGTGCTATGTACAAGGGATTTAAAATTGGAACTAAGAGTGAGGTTGGCGAGATGCTATGTTTTTTCGACTTTGTTTTATGGAATAGAATCTTGGACCGTGAATGCGACATCAATGAAAAAACTGGGATCATTCGAGCTGTGGGTGTATAGAAGAATTCTGAAGATATCGTGAACAGAACACGTCACAAACAAAGAGGTTCTGAGAAGGATGAATAAAGAAATAGACATTTTAAATACAAATAAAACAAGAAATCTTGTCTCGGACATATTACATGTGGAGAGAAATACACCTTGCTCCAACTGATTATGAAGTGAAAGATCCAAGGAAAGAGAAGCCTAGGGAAGCGTAGAATGTCATGGCTGCGCAACCTGAGAGAGTGGTAAGGATGTACATCAATAAACATTTCAGGGGAGCCATCTCAAAAGTCCGAATAGCTATGATTGCCGACCTCCGCCGCGGATATGGCACTTGAAGAAGAAGATGGGCCAAGGCACAAATAAGAAATCAAAAAGAAAATTGTAAAATATAAAAATAAAATGGCTAATGCAATTGTGAATGTGACAATTTTAACAATTGGGAAGTCAGAGTAGATAAACTACTGGAAGAAATTGTATTGGAGAAAACAGAGCAAGACTATAGTGAAGTAAAAGAGAAAGCGGAATTTAAACTCTACGATTCCAAAGGCATTATAGTGGAATGTTTAGCAGACAAACCCTTGAGTTTAATTAAGAATGCAAAAACTACAAAAGAAATGGAAAACATATTCCGAGAGAATAAGTGACTTTGCAAAATCAACATTAAAACGTCACTTTGTGATCAAAATAACGTAGTAAATAAAAATTACCAGCCAAAATCATAAACATAGCATAAACGAAGCATTTATCCTGGTTACTTGGTTACTTATTCATTATCATAGAGATCTGAAGTGCCAAAAATGAATGTCAAAATAATTCATTATATTTACTAGCAGTTTTTGTTAAACCGAGAACAAACACTTACGGGTTTTTACTTCTTAGACTACAATGTCAGCAAAACCACCACGGATATCTCTTACGCCGGCGCAAGAAATAGAAAGACGCAAAATAGCTAGAAGAAGATTCAGAGCTCTAATTCGAGAAGTGTATGATAATAGGTATTGGTTGGGAGAGTTTGAAGAGATTCGATTAAGTAAGATTTTTCAATACATATTTGAAATTTAAGGCTTTACATGCTTTTATATTATAATAGTCCGTGAACGAAGGCATACTGCTGAAGTTACAGGTTAAAGTCAAAATTAGATAGCATTTGGCACCGTGAAAAGTTTCTGGGTGGCTTGTCAGTTTCTTATCTAATTTCAATTTCAGTCTTTCCAATATGATTTTGATCATTGCTTCAAATACGTCACAATTACACAATATTATAAATTACACAAATTACACAAAACGGGAAGCTTTTCGTGGCAAGTGTGGCTTTGGGGTATATATGTCCAATAAACCTAATAAATACGGCATGAAAATCTTAAGTATTAGTATATGCTAAGTTTCCGTATACCGCAAATCTAGAGGTGTACGTTGGACAACCTCCCGGCCCATATAAGGTTAATACGAGCAATATTTCCCTCGTTCCTCGCCTTTACAGTCCTATATCTGGTTCTCACAGAAATGTAACAATGGCCAATTTTTGGCCTCAGCTTGGCCGATCTTCTTTTGAACGAACATAATCTGATTATTATAGGCAGTATAGTATGAGGAAAAACGAAAGAAAGCTTCAATTTACTAATTCAATTTACTGATCCTAAGAGATCATAATGAGGAAAAACAAAAGAGCACTTCAATTTACTGATCCTAAGAGACAAGAAAAAACAAGTATTTTTGCTTTTAGAGAAAAAAGTATGATTGTGTCGAATACACCCATAAAAAAAAACGTTATTTTACTCTCAACGATGCACCACGACGATTTGATAGACGAATTAACGGGCAAACCAGAAATCATCATTGACTATAATAAATCTAGTTGAAATAATTTATTTATTTATTCCACAACAAACACATTTTACAGAATAAAATGTAATTACAAGTAGGGATTTTGACATTAGATATACCTACATGCTAAGATAAAATGATTAAAGCGGATAAAAAGCTAGATTTAATTGCTTTGATGTTGGTGTTGAAGATATCTATGTCGCTATTTTTTTTAGTATCATATTGCACTGCCTCATCATGTTGTTAATGGGCGAGCAGTCTGTCTCACAAATAGAAAAAAACAGCCCTCTATGACTTAACCTTAAGTTAATCTTAGGTACCAAGAATTTTATATGGTTAATCAAGAATAAGCCTTTATATTTTAAATTATTCACAATATAATATACAAATAGCATTGCTTGCATTTTTCGTCTCTGTTCCAATGTTACAAGTTTAAAAGTTTCAAGCATACTCCGGTAAGACACCAAGTATGGATACGAATTATATTTTCTAACATACAGATATCTTAAAAACCTTTTTTGTACCTAAATAATAAAAGAGGAGTACATCTAGTTGATAAAATGTGTGCAGTCTTTAATTGCGCTCCAGCCACTCGCCGATGGCCTATGGTCATTTTTTATTCTGCAATGAATGTAGCCGGTATCAATTAATTTGTAACAAATAAATATAAATCTAATGAAATAGATAAATTGCCTGGAAGACATTTTCTAGAACCTCTTGGTATGGAACTTGTAAATGATCATCTGCAATGTCGATTTGTGAATAAACGTATTCCTAGATCAATTAGGTCAAGAATAAAAGAAATTTGTCGTATTGAAAAAGAAATTGTTCCAGCCCCAAATCCACAACCAAGTCGTCGAGATCGTTGTTTTTACCGTAGTAGACAAAAAAAAATTTTTGTGTTTTGTTGCAACAAAAAAGCCAAAGAACCCGGAGGGATGCCAAACGAACTAATTAAAAACGGGACGGAAAAGTTATTCCGCATGCTACACAGAATGTTCGAAAGAGGACTAAATGGAGAGGAAATACCTGCGGAATGGACACAAGCATACATCACATCCATACATAAGAAAGGAAACAGGAAAAAATGTGAAAACTACAGAGGAATTAGTATAGTATCGTCGGTAGGTAGACTTTACGGGAAAATTGTCAAGGAAAAACTAGAAACTGAAATAATAGGAAAAATTGGAGAAGACCAAGCAGGGTTCACAGTAGGAAAATCATGCCTAGATCATACGTACACATTAAAACAACTGATAGAGAAGAAAATAGCAAAAGGTAGACCGGTCCATTGGGCGTTTGTTGATCTAAAGAAAGCATACGACTCAATACCTAGAGTCAAATTATGGGAAGCAATGAATGATCTCGGAATCCGACAAACACTAATAAAAGCAGTTAAAGCACTGTACAAAGAAAACAAAGTAGCTATTAAATGTGGAAATAAAGCCTACAATCCATTTAAGACGACAAAAGGACTTCTACAAGGCTGTGCTACTTCCCCTACTCTGTTTAAAATATTCTTGGAAAAGACACTCAAACCATGGAGGAGAAAGTGCGAAGGAATGGGCATACCAGTAAGAGACGAATATCTATACACCTTAAGTTTTGCCGACGATCAAGTAGTCATCGCACACGATGAAGAAGATCTCAGCTTTATGCTCAGAAAACTAGAAGAGGAATATAAAAACAACGGAATGGAAATAAACTTAGAGAAAACCGAATACCTAACAACAGAAAACAAGGATATGAGAAACCTAGAGATAGACGAGGGAAGACAAGTAAATGGAACAGATAAATTCAAGTATTTAGGAACCATAATATCGAACCAGGGAACAACAGAAGAAGATATAAACAACAGACTAAGACAAACAAGAAACTCTATAAGACAACTAAATTCAGTGCTGTGGGAATAGAACATTACGATAAAGACTAAAAAGAAAATATATAATACCCTGACAAGAAGTATCCTGACATATGGGTTCGAAAACTGGACAATAAACAAGAGAAATAGAGGTAGAATAAGAGCAGTAGAAATGGAGTTCCTGAGGAGAAGCTGTAGACTTACAAAAAGAGACAGAATTGAAAACGCAGGGATTAAGCGGAGAATGGGAGTGCAATCAGACATAATCGACTATATAGAGAAGAGACTATCCTGGTACGGCTACGTCAGAAGAGCGGACAGAGGACGCTGGATAAACAAAATCACAGAATGGAGCCCGATTGGAAGAAGAAAGAGAGGAAGACCCTGAAGGTCATTCAGAGACGAAATCGACGAGGTTATGGAGAAAAGAACCCTGCGAGATGGAGACTGGAATGACAGGGAAAATTGGAGATAACGGTTGAGTGAAGGAATACCTGTCAAAAATATCAAAACTTTGTATGATTAGAACACGTAAAATGCATTTGCTTCGATTGCCTACAGGATGGTATTTCCGAAGACATCATTCATGTATCTACTTTGCGCATTTCAAACATTTGTTTTTTATTTAGTCTTTGTTTAATTTCTTAGAAATAGTTGTTTTGTATTTGTTTAATTTGGGTTTTTGTGTTTTATAGTACTCAAAATATAATAATTTTGTTCTAAAGAATCGACAAGTTCTCAGACCGTTTTTACGAAAACAATTATTTTTTTTTACCTTTTTTAGACTGCGGACTGCTAGTCCGACGTTACATTATTTTCACGACTCTATTTGATACAACAACTCTTCTTCCATTTAAACGTCCTTGAATCCTTCTATTAACATTTTCTGTCTTAATGCGTTTTGAGATAAACAAATTTTTACAAAAATTAATTAACAATTTATTTCATTTTAAAATGTTAACCTCTGTTTAACGTTTTCCTACATATAATTTACGTGTCCTTTCAACAGGTGAAAACGTCAAAAGAAATATTTTATTATTGACGAAGAAAACGAAAATTTTAAGTTCTCTTACTATGTACGAAAAGTCTATTTTACGAAAGCCAACCGAACTGCGAACGGAAGAAGAAAGAAACCACTTAAACAAAGTGATCGGTGGTCTCAAATATTTCAGGAAATATCCACCGGAAGTCAAAGCCGCTCTTGCTGCCGTTACTTTTTTCGAGTACTATCCTCCAGGTCGTACTCTTATCAGGCAAAATCATGAGCCAACAGGTAAGACCACAAATGGTTTTTCCATAGAATAAGTGTCAGTTTAAATTGTTATATTTTTTGTTTTTAAATTTCGTTCTGTGTGAAGTTTTAATTCACGTATTTGAAATTCCATTCTGTATAGAAGTTTTAATATACGTCTTTCAAAATATTCTAACGAAAGTTTGTTATAAACATTCAAATTTCCTCTCAAAACTTCGGCGAAGAACACTGTAGTGTTCTTGGAATAGAATAAGCATCTAAATATTTATTTTACTCAGTCCAAAATGTCTTTTATAGGAGTTTTCAATTAAGACAGACTGGCGTAAGAATCGAAGTAAATAGTGCGCCGATCAAAGTATTTAGATTTAAATGGAACACTCTTAATCCGTGGGAGAATTTTTAGTACTGAGATTGCGTTGTTGTGTGAATTTTTTAATTCTTCCCGGTTAAGTTTTTACAGAAGACTGGAGTGTATAGTACCATGAATTTCCCAGATAAAGTTTGTCAAAATAAAAACATTTCAATAATGACTCTAAACACATAATATTAACCAAAGGAGTGTATTGTGCATGGAGGTGATTAATGCGCATTGCATCCCGTTAAAATTAAGGTGGAAATACACCATTCAATTCGGTTGAACAACGTGGATGATTCAATTACCTTGTTCAATCAAATTGAAAAGCATACATATACACGCTGCAATTTGTTCTTAATTCAATTCGGTTAAACAATGTGGATGATGGTTCAATGACAACTTAAAAATATAAGAAATCATTTTCAAACATATAAAATACATGCTGATTTTACTAAAATTCCAGTACATTACAGCGAATATAAAAGATATAATAGTATATTACATAACGAGAGTTGTAAGAAGCTTATTACATGCGAGTAAAAAAGTTGCGCGCGAGCCGCGTAGCGGCGAGCGCAGTAATTTTACAAGCATGTAATAAGCTTACAACTCAAGTTGTGTACTATACTTTTTCTAGCATTATTTTCGTTTATAAAAATAAAAATTAAATTACCACTATATTTACACTGATAGAATAATAATTTTTAATCTGTCAAAATAACGTCTGTTTATTCGTTTCCATGGTAACTTGACCAACTGACTTACGAGGCTTATGTGATATTACACATTTTTATAAAACTGAAGCGTAATTTTTTTTTTCTACTCTCTTACTAGTAATTTGTATATTACCTACTATTTGGATGCTAAGTAAATGCATCATAATAGATACTGACACGTAATGACTAGCACGTAATAAAAAAAATTACGCTTCAGTTTTATAAAAATGTGTAATATCACATAAGCCTCGTAAGTCAGTTAGTTGAGTTACCATGGAAACGAATTAACAGACTTTATTTTGACAGAATAAAAATTATTAATCTGTCAGTGTAAATATAGTGGTAATTTAATTTTTATTTTATAAACGAAAATAATCGTAGAAAAAGTACAGTACACAACTTGAGTTGTAAGCTTATTACATGCTTGTAAAATTACTGCGCTCGTAATTTCCTGACCACCTCGTAGTCCGGACCTCTCCCTATGTGACAAGTTTCTTTGGGGGTATCTAAAGTCAAACATATTTCAAAGTAACCCCCAAGAACTGTCGAGGCTTTGAAAGAACGAATAGGCGAAGAAGTGAAAGCTATACCTTAAGAAATTTTACTTAATATCGTAAACAGCTTGAAACTACGGCTGCAAGAATATGTCCGAGAACATGGAAGTCACCTTTCCAATATCATCTCGTACAGCTGAAAATTTCTTACACACTTAATAAAAAGATATTTTTTCAGCTTTTTTGTTTATTTGAAATCGTACCGTTTCATTGACTATTGCCGAGTCTAACTATAGATATATTTTAGCTATGTACTTCTTATTATCTGGCGAAGCTAGCGTAGTAGTATCCCACTACGACAAATTTCTAAAGGAGTGGATTCCCGAAAATACCGGAGTACTAGGTCCAGGAACGACTTTTGGGGAAGTCAGTTTACTTCACAATATCAAAAGGATGGCCACGTATATAACTGCAACCCACTGTGAACTGTTGATGATCAAGAAAGACGATTTTCATTCGATTATTAGGGATTCTGTGTTAGAAGGTACAGTTTCCTAATATTTAAGTTAAGTTTATAAATAGTGTAAATTACTTTTTAGTACAGTTTCTGGTGTGTAATTTCTTAAACATCTAAAGCATTGTTTTTTTTTATAACAGAATGGAATCAAATACGGATAATACTAGATAAATTCACTTATTTTAAGAACTGGGATTCGATGACCAAAAAGGAAGCCAGTATCCTAACCAAAATGAAGACTTACAATGCGGACGAAATAATTTTGGGGGACGAAATCGGATCACCGCCATACGTACACTTCATTACGAAAGGTAAATTTCTTTGAAATCTTCCACAATTGTTTTCATTTTGTAATGTTTTCACTAGAAGTTGACGGTCCTGATTTGTGTGCTAAGAGGCATATATCGTCAGCGTAATCTAGATCTTTGATCAAATGAAAGGCAGATATCGAGAAGAGTTTTATTAATTAAATGTTGCCCAAGTACTTTCGCTTCCTAGAGCATCTTCAGGGGTATTTCGTCAATTTTGGCCTATTTAACAATCGTAGAATGTCATAAACATAAATTTGTACATTACACTACACTATACAAGAACAAACACTTTAAAAATTGTTTCATTTTCACATTCTCTCTCTAGCTTCTTCTATTTTAAAATTTTTAAAGTGTTTGTCCTTGTGTAGTGTAGTGTAATGTACAATTTTATGTTTATGACATTCTATAATTGTTGGATAGGCTAAATGAAGATGCTCTAGGAAGCAAAAGTACTTAAGCAAGATTTAATTAATAAAACGGTGCTCGATATCTGCCTTTCATTTGATCAAAGTTCATTTATTCGAGCATTCAACCTTATATCAATTAATCTAGAACTTACATTTTACTCCATTAGAGGATATAAGAGAAAGGTTTGATTGGCTAGCTGTTGTCCTTGTCCAAGCTTTTAACAACTCCGGTGGAATATTGTCCGTGGAATATTGGAGTTTATATTTTGTGCATCTTCTGGTAGTATTATAGTTTATTCGTCTTCCGGTTTGGACCGTGTCATTTGTGAGTGACCCAAAAGTGGGTTCATCTCGACGTTTCGCTACAATTATATGTAGCTTCTTCAGGAGAAACAAAGAAAAAGAAAAAAGAAAACAAAAGAACAGGAAGATGGGTAGTTAGCAACGGTAACTCAGTTACTCAACGCAACCAGAGGCGAATACTAACTACCAAGATGGGCATTTGGTCACAGTAACTCAACTACTCAACGCAGCCAGAGGTGAAAACCAAATGCCAGGACAGGGATTCACGTCCAACAGCTCAGAACACTAACGCGTCGAGAGGCGGGGAGTGAATCCGACGATTACTCCGCTACCGCTCTATTTATAGTCGCGGTGCCTGTCGTGTCGGGACGTATCGGCACACTTCGTGGCGCGAACGTCAAGAAGCGCGCGCTGGCCAATCATGTGGTGGCGGGACCGGACGGTGGCTCTAGACTGAGATTCCAGATGGGAGACAAGTAGTATCCTTCCTCTCGATTGATATTATGGGGATTTTTTCGGATCTCTAGAGATTCGCGGATTTTCCTGGAATAAAAGAAGGGGCTCTTAGAAATAATATGGGTTTTTTCGAACAATATGGAATGACCGGTTTCTTGGCAGTGTTCGGCAACTGCAGAATGGGAGAAAAGACCTGATCGAATGCATCTTTGATGCTCTTGAATCCGAGTTTTGACGGAACGACCAGTTTCGCCAATATACACATGTCCACATGAACAAGGAATAGAATAGACACCACAGGAAGATAGGGGCGGTAATGGGTCCTTAGGAGAGGGTAGATATTGTGAGATTTTCTTGGGTGGTCGAAAAGTAGTCCTGATACCTTCTTTGCGAAGAATTTTGCCAATCCTATCAGTGACATTTCGAATATATGGAAGAAAAGCCACAGGAGTATTACCCGAAGATTCTGAATTTGTTGTCCTAGGGTGTAAAGGGGGATGTAGATGTCGGTGTGTGATATTTTGAATTGTGGACTTGGAGTAACCATTGGCGACAAGGGTTTTTTGCAGATGACCAAGTTCTTCTCTAAGGTTGTCGGGTTCAGAAATCGAAATGGCCCGATGGATGAGAGAGTTGATCACAGAATTCTTTTGGGCAGGATGGTGGTGTGATGAAGCATGTAGGTAACGATTCGTGTGAGTCTTTTTTCTATAAACAGAGTGACCCAATCGGCCATTGGGCTTGGAGGTGACTAACACATCGAGAAAGGGAAGGGACCGATTATTTTCTACTTCCATTGTGAATTTTATACTCGGATGTTGTGAGTTAAGATGATCTAGGAAGGAAGAAAGGGTATGTTGACCATGGGGCCAGATGATAAATGTATCATCAACGTAGCGGAACCAGACTTTTGGTTTTAAGGGGTAAGATTCTAGGGCTAAAGACTCAAAGGCTTCCATGAAAATGTCAGCAATGACAGGGGAAAGGGGAGAACCCATTGGTGTTCCAGATATTTGTTTGTAGAAATTGCCTCTAAAAGAAAAATATGTTGAAAGGAGGCATTTTTCGGCAAGATCTGCCAAAACCAAAGACTTGTTATCATTGGTCAAGTGATCTCGCAGAACAACTAGAGAGTCATGTATGGGGATATTGGTAAATAGGGATGATACATCGAAACTGACGAGAATATCTTGGGGATCGACTGTGAGAGAGGAGATTAAGGTGATGAAATGTGTGGAATTTCGGACATAAGAAGAGGTACGACCAGTATAGGTCTTAAACTGATTGGACAAGTACTTTGCGAGTTTGTAGGTAGGAGAGTTAATCGTAGTCACAATGGACGAAGAGGTACGTTATCTTTATGGATTTTCGGAAGACCATAAATTCTGGGGCAGATGGAGTTTTTTGGAACTATGGACTTCTTAACATCATCGGAAAGATCGGATTGTTTGATGGCATGGGAAATTTCGCGTTCGACTCTAGGAGTGGGGTCTCGAGAAATTGTATTATAACAGGATGTATCCCTAAGTAAGTCGTTTACTTTCTCTATGTATTGAGTACCATGTCCAAATTAGATGTGGGTAGCTTTCATTACTTTTTGCCGATATTGTTCTCGATCTTGCGCGACATGTAACAATTCGCATGCTGATAAGCCAGTCGACTGACGAAGGTTTCGGTGCCATGAATATTTTCTGGCATTTTGGAGTTCTGAAATAATTCGCAAATTTTCATGTTTCTGTATCGTTATGTTAACATATTTAATGCAAAAAATCTTCTCGTGTTCCCAGTCCATTTCGAAATCTGAATTGACTGTCACTTACCTAAAATTCACACTTCTTGTTAATTCGTGTCTGAATGATTCTGAGAAAAGTTTTAAGGACATGAGACATGCTTAATATTCGATAGTCATCGCAGTGTGAGGCATTGGATTTTTTGGTAACGTTACGAATGTTGATTTTAGCCAGTCTGATGATATTTTACCTGTATCATATACCTTATTGAATAGTGTTGTTATTAAGTCGAGGATTTTACTTTCAAATTTAAAAATGAAACTGGAACAAAACCATGAAGTGTAGATATCCAGTTAGCCCTAGACTCCAGCACAGATCAGAGGTAATGTAAGTCGACAATATCTCACCAGCTTCTGAGAGACATTCTAAATGCCCCCAGTTGTAGTTTTTATTAATTATCTAAGTTAACGGTCTATTGCATTTACCTTTGTAAATTCCACGAGGATTGTTTTTGTTACTGATGTCCATCTAGTGTTTTTCTGTGGCCAAACAACGTTTTTAACAACTTTTTATTAAACTGATGATGGAATGATTTAATTCCGAAAAGATCTTTAAAATAAAGTTTTAGGCTTTTAATAAGCATTTTTTATACTTTGATACACACGAACACCACGTGCTTTGGATTATACTTTCATTGTCTGCAATTCATTTAAGTATTTCGACAATGATATTGTCTGGACCGGTGGCTTTTCGGTTCTGAGCTTTTATTGCATAAATAACTTCTTCTTATGTTATTTTTGGACCTTTTTTATTTATTCGATCATCCGTGGATTGTAAAGAACAAGGTCTATCATCGTCAAAAAGTGTCTGAATGTATTCTTTCCATCTCTTCAGTTTGTCTTCGTTACCTATAATTATCTCGTTAATATTATTTCTTAATATTGTTTCTTGTCTCTTACCTGTCATTTCTTTCCTTCTTTTATGGACATTAAAGGTGTCGTATCTTTCCTGAAGTTGTTTAATTTCTAGGCATTTGGTGAGGTCCATGATCTCTTGCGTTATCCATTCTTGTTTTCTGTTGTTTTTCGTAAACCCGATGTCTTCTTCTTCTATCTTTATTTTCATTTTTAGAGCAGTTCATGTCACTTCATCGTCTGCCTGTACCAAGTTCTCTAGTGTTCCTATTTCCTTCTCAACCTTAATGCTTATTTTATTTTTCTTTTCAGGGTTCTTATCCGTTATAACTGTATTTGTATTTTGAGTATTTATTATATTTAACTACATAACATATACAAATATTGTTTGTAGCAAGTCAAAAAAAAAACATACATAGTATTAAATGATAAAACATTAAATAATACAAACATGAAAACATATTAAACAGAAAAATATTTATGGCAAAGTTACGGTAAGCAGTTCAGTGGATGTTCTGCAATGAGTCATATATTCTTCTGAGCAGTAAAAACAATGTTTTAAAAGATATTTTTTTTATAACTTTATCGAAACTATTACAGCTTAGCTCTTTTATACTTTTTGGTAAAATATTGTAATAGTTATAATTAAGACTATTTTTTTCTGAAAGACTTAATCTATAGCGATTTGTTCGTAGGTAGTGACAGTTTCGCGTATTGTGAACATGGACATCAGACTGCTTTATTTAATGGGCACGTTTTCTGTGAATTTGAGTTAAAACTTGAAATATCAACAGAGTAGGTAGCGGCATAATTTTGAATTTGATAAAGAAAGGTCGGCAGTGTTCTAGATAACTAACCCCTGCTAAAATCCTGACAGCTTTCTTTTGTATTCTAAAAATTTGAAGTGCATTTGTTGAATTGCCCCATATAATTAAACCATAGTTTAGGTGAGAGTGGAATAAAGAAAAATATGTCATTTTTAATGTTTCAAAGTTGACAACCCTTGCTAGTTGGCGAATAACAAATAATGAACTGGATAGCTGTTTCTTAAGGTGTGAGATATGAGCAGACCAGTTGAGTCGATTATCTATGGTTATGCCCAATAGTTTAACAGTCTCTTTGTTAACTAGATCATTGTGTAAATTACTTGCAGATATAACCATATTTTGCGTTTTATCAGAATTAAGTTTTAGTTTGTTTGCAGCAAACCATGAGCTAGATTTAGTAGTAACTTCCTCATGAGACATTTTTAAATCATCATTATTTTTTCCTGATATAACGTATGTCGTATCATCTGCGAATTGTATGGTTTTGTACGGAGATATGAATTTAGGCAGATCGTTGACATAAATAATAAACAAAAGAGGTCCTAAGACCGAACTTTGTGGGACTCCATGTTTTACGGATAGAAAATCAGAGAGATGACCTTTAGACACTACCGCCTGGTGTCTGCCACATAGATAAGAAGTTATAAGCTTAAGAGGGATACCTCTGATTCCATAGTAATTTAATTTGTGGAGCAAAATGTCGTGTGAAACGCAGTCAAAAGCCTTTGATAAGTCACAAAGAGAAATTGCTATGCGATTGCCGCGTTCAAGCCCCTCAATCACCTCGCTCACAACATTAAATACCGCGTTCGTAGTAGAACGAGCACTTCTAAATCCATATTGTGAGTTGCTAAAGTAATTATTTGACTCAAAATAGGAATAAAATTGTTGTTTGATAACCTTTTCAATCACTTTCCCAAAAGTAGAAACAATGCTTATGGGTCTGTAATTGTCAATTTTTGAGGAATCACCTTTTTTGTAGATTGGTAGTACTTTTGAGTATTTTAGTACTTCTGGAAATACTCCGGTGGATAGAATTAAATTAATAAGATGAGTAAAAGGTGTTAAAACTATTTGGTAAGTTTCTTTTAAAATTTTGCTATTAATCTCGTGAACGTCCCTACAATTAGAATTACTAAGCGACTTTATTATTTGAGAGACCTCTTCTTCCAGAACGGGCCGAAAAAAAAATGACTTGCTCGGAGAAGGATAATTTCTGGATTGTGATCGCTATGAATGTCAGCTCCAGGATATGTTGGATATATTTTAGTAGATTTTATGTACTTCTTGAAGTTGTTATCGAACAAAATGAAGTCAATTTGATTTCTAACAATTTTATCTTTTCTGTCTGTAGGTGATTTCCAAGTGTATAGTCTTGTAGGATGTTGTAAGACTTCTATGTTTGAGATGCGTTGAACCCATGATATTTTGAGCATTTTACAATATGACCACATCTCGAAAGCTTCTTATTAGGTCATCATATTAACCTTCATGACCCCGGTTTCACATCCATATAGTAATATAGGATCCACATAACATTTTAGTAACTTGATTCTTAATTGTTGAACTACTTTCTTGTTATGTTCTAATATTGGATCCAAACAAGCTTTTTCTACTTTCAGGTTCTGCTTGTCTGATCGAAAACATCCAAGTCCATAAATGCAACGCCACCGGTGTAGACGTATACACGCTTCAGTTACCGCAAGAAATATCTGCTGACAGACTATCTACTATCACGCAGATCTTTCATAAATATCGAAAATATATGGGATCCGATGACAATCGCATTCCGTCAGAAATTCACTTCGATTACGTGCCGTACGAAGATATGTACATTTTTACAAGATCTCCCAGTCGAGTAACCAAAGCCTCCAGAAAATACTCATCGTTACCTATGGTGGTGCAACAAATGATGAAGTCGCAAAATGTACAGCATGTAAGTTTTTCCTTTCTTATGTATTGGATCCTAGGGCTTTCTTGTTTGTTAAGTTACATGTATTATCATTAATTGCTACTTTTGTGGGTTCGTCCTGAGAAACTTTTTTAGGCAGCACTAGAAATCTGTCAAAAATGAAGGTCATGCACTATCCCTAGAAGACGAAGTAATGGAGGAATGGGAAAACTGCATTAAAGCATTATTTAAGGATGATCGAGGATCACTACCTAACTTAAGTGCAAATACAGGACCATCAATCTTAAAAGCTGCAGTGGAAAAAGCCATACACCAAGCCAAAAACAACAAAGCCAGTGGACCAGATCAAATATACAGCGAATGGCTAAAATTACTCTCAAATGACAATATAAAAGAACTCACTGTACTTTTCAATCAAATATATGATACCAGTGAAATTCCATCGGACTGTTTAAAATCGATCTTTATTCCTCTACCTAAGGAACCAAACGTTAAGAAATGTAGCGATTGTAGACTCATTAGTTTAATGAGCCATACCGTTAAAATACTGTTGCATATTCTTCTAAACCGAGTTAACAACAAGTGCGAAGAAATAATTAGTCAAGAGCAGTTCGGGTTCCGGAGATGCATTGGAACTAGAGAAGCACTATTTTCTATGCAAACACTCCTTCAACGATGTTGGGAGGTAAGAAAACCCGTATATATGTGCTTCATTGATTTTGAAAAGGCATTTGATCGCGTTAAGCATACCAGACTAATTACCGCCTTGCAGAGCATCCAACTAGATGAGAAAGACATCAAACTTATTGCCAAACTTTACTGGAACCAAACAGCCATTATTAATACCAACAACAGAGAATTAAAGCCAATCAGTATTGAACGAGGCGTAAGACAAGGCTGTATACTATCTCCCACCCTCTTTAACGTGTATTCTGAGAATCTATTTAGGGAAGCTTTAAAAGATCAAAAAGGAATTATCATAGGAGGAGAAATAATTAACAATATACGGTACGCCGACGATACTGTGATTCTAGCTGAAAACATCGACGATCTGCAGGAGCTAATCAATAGAGTTGACATGGAATGCACAAATTGGGGACTGTCGATAAATATCGATAAAACTAAATACATGGTGACCAGTAAAGTGGATATCGGCGCAACTCAACTGATATTAAACCAACAACCGCTGCAGAGAGTTCAGAGATTCAAATACCTTGGATGTTGGATTACCCAAAATCTAGATCCATCCTTCGAAATTCGATGTAAATTAAACAGACAAGAAACTCATTTCAAAAATTTAAGCCTCACTACTATTCCAACTCATTAAATTTGGAAATCCGTGAATGAAAAGTTTACAAGATGTTACGTGTGGTCTGTACTTTTGTATGTATGTGAAACTTGGACTTTAAACGCCGATATCATGAATAAAATCGAGGCGTTTGAGATGTGGTTGTATCGAAGGATACTAAAAATTCCATGGACTAGCAGAACCAGAAATGAAGAAGTTCTTCGAAGAATGGGACATCAACGAACTCTATTAAATATTATTAAGAGGCGTAAACTAGAATATCTTGGACATATAATCAGGGGACCAAGATATGAGTTCCTTCGCATAATTCTCAACGGTAAAATCGAAGGAAAGAAATGGATAGGACGGAAGAAACTCTCTTGGTTGAGGAATTTGCGGCAGTGGACAGGTTTGACAGCGGACCAATTGCTACACGTAGCGCAAGACCGAGATCAGTATAACAATATTATAAGCATGGTAGTCGCCGACGTTCCGTAGGGATATGGCACTCTAAGAAGAAGAAATCTGTCATGCGTCACAGCATCCATCTACTTCTCTTGTCATTTGTGATGTATGACTTATCTGTTCCTTGTCACATGACCTTCTACCTGTCATCAGTCATTCTTCTTCTTCAGTGCCTTATCCGGTCCGGATGTTGGCGATCATCAAGGCTATCATGGTTTTGTTGACTGCTTAGCGAAACAGCTCCGCTGAGGCCATCCCAAACCATTGTCGGAGATCATAAACCATCATTACTTACATATTTTGTGTCATCCATCATTTGTATCCATTCCAATTATTATAATTTTCCGGATACCTAAACTAAGTCAGCAGAGTGCGAGAATATACTTTCAGTCTATGTATTTGTAGTTCTTTCACGTTAAAATTCATCATTTTTAAATTTGTTATACGATAAGCGCAACTCTGAATTATATATGACATGAATAGTATATATATGTAACTCTCAAATGTTTGCAGGACTCAGAAATGTCATCAATGTTTTCAGAAACGTTTTCGAGAGAACTACACATTCACAGAAACCGAAATGTCGAATGTAAAGAGGAAACGCATTTCATGAAGGTATGTGAATATTTGCCAGGCGCGTGCTTTAGTATCGGGGAAAAATTCGAGCGAAGAAGAATCGTAGCGATGACGCCCGTTACTTGCCTTTTGTTGCCCCGTTACTGGATTCTACGAAATAATAAAGATGAAGTGTGGACCAGGTAAAATTTTTTTGACACTTGTACGTCTATTAGGAGTTTTTAAGCTAAATGTCGTTTCCTCATTTACCAAGACTTTCTTCTCGTCATTAACACACTTCGAAATTGGCATTGCCTTATAAGGAATGAACTTTACGTCAAATTCCTACCCCTTATTTCTTTCTTTTTCTCTATTGGCTCTCTTCTTCCTCTTTATAACCAATTCTGCTTGTTCATTGGCCGATAATACCTCTATGGAAGTTTGTCACTCCATTTTTTGTGCTGTCTTCCGATACTTCTTTTGCCGATTGGTAACTTCTTTCTCTCTACTCCATTCTGCTTATGTTTATTTCATTCTTTTTTTCCATTTAGTGGCCATTCGTTTATACACTGTACGTTACATTTTCTTCTGTCTTCACTTCTCTTTCGATCTCTCGCCGTATTTCCTGTAATTCTTTCTCTGTACAAAGAAAGATCTTATAAACAAATTAATAAAAACGCTGGCAAGATTGATAGATTCAAATGCAACGTGAGGTTGATTCAAAAGAGATTAATTTTTTTTTTAAAATACATTCAGAGAAATAATAAGCTTTGGCACACCGTTAGGGTAATTTTTGTCATCAACATAAAATGTTCGACATAAGTCATGACGTGCGACGTGATATGTGACATTTGACGTGACGATTTGACATAATACGTGACATTCCCACAGTTCTACTATATTTTACATAAAACGGGGCATTTTACGTGAAACATGGCATTTTCTCGTCACTTTTGTTATAAAATGTTACATTTTAAGTCGAATGTCACGTTTATCTCATAACGATTCGTAAAATGTCAAAACGTTACGTTTCACGTGACTTCTAACGTAAAATGTGATATTTCACGTCGATTGTCACGTAAACGTCTCATTATTCGTCAAATATCATGTACAATTTATCGTAAAATGCCACGTTTCAGGTTGAACTTCAAGTCGCACATCAAATGTCACGTTACACGCCATGTCAGCTAATTTCACACTAATCGGGTCGGGTGCAAAGATATTTTGCCAAGTGATATCCACCTACTTACTCCCTCCTTCGGCGCAGTCACATATATAGTCCCAAGATTCCCAAGAGGAACATAGGGCTTCCACAAAGTGTCTCCAGCGAACTCTATATTTGGCTAGTGCTTTGATTTCAAGCCAGGATTTTCCCATTTTTGTCCCTTCGTCCAGTACTGTCCTTCTCCAAGTTCCCTTAGGTCTGCCTACTTTCCGTCGGCCTTGGAGATTCCAATCCAGCGCTGTCCTGGCAATGTCATTTGGCGGTCTACGGAGTGTGTGGCCCAGCCATCTCCATTTTCTTCGCCTTATTTGCTTTATGACATTTTCTTGGTTGCTTTGGTTCCATAAATTTTCATTGGAGATTCGGTTAGGCCAAAATATACGAAGGATTTTTCGTAACGCTCTATTGATGAAAACTTGTAATTGGTGTACTATGGGTGCTGATATCTTCCACGTTTCGCAGCCATACGGTAATACAGCTTTTACATTTGTGTTGAAGATTTTTAATTTCGTTTTAGTTGGGTAAATCCTGGATTTCTATATGTTGTTAAGCATGTTGTAGGCGTTGCGAGCCTTATTTATTCTTTCATGTACATCACGCTCTGTACCCCCATTACAGTCAATTATGCTGCCCAGATATACAAATTCCGCTACTCTCTCAATTTTCTGGTCGTTGATCATAATAGGTTGGTTGTTTCTGGTACCAAATCGCATTTCTTTGGTTTTGTTGATGTTGGCGCAGTCACATACAAACACGGAACTCTTCCTGACTCTGCTAGCACTTTAACTATCACGTTACTCTGATCGCTTCATTTACATCTCGCTTTGTTTATTATTCAATAACCGAATTGGCACTAGCTATTAAGAATTGGCGAATTAAATATTTGAAGACAATGAAACATTTCAATAGAAAGCAATTAAATAACTTCGTTAGTGTGTTTCATACAAATTTGATAAATTGCTAAATGAGTATTGTCACTCATTTCTACGCCTTCTCTCCCCATACGCCGTCAATCAAGGCTCATATTAGAGACAACGTGACCCAAAAGAAGGTAATGTTTACCTTCTGGCTGATTTCCTAACGAAGTTAGCCAGAACTATCTCGACTAAATACTTTCAAATTATTGGTAGACACCAGGAAAGATGTTTCCCGGAACAGAAAATTCTTATTTGACTTTCAGGATCAGGTAATTCCAACCAAAACTACCTGAATATATCTTCAGGACCGAAATGACAAAATGTAGAGATGGATGCCAAGACCAAGAAACCATTCAACATCTTACCGGGGGCTCTCAAGCATTTGTTGCTAGAGATTATGTACTTGCATATATTTTACAATAAATTTTATCAAATTATTCATTCGTTTACCTATCAAACACCCTTATTGCAAACAGGATAGCACCCGCTACTCTTTCATGACCACGACTTACTTATTGTCATTTTAAAACCAACGCGCCGACATCTCACTATAATAATTGACCGCGCCACGCCATTTCTTTAGGTTTAGAAACAATATCTGGGAATGAAATATGGGGGAAAGCACTACTTATTCAAAATTAAATTCATAAATTTTCAAAATTGAAATCAGGGACTTGTTATTCTCTCCACTTACTGTTTACGCTTTTCCTAAGTAAAGTAGTCTATTAATTTCGTGCAGTTTGTACGCTTTATTTTAGAGTAACCCAATTTTTGGACATGCACATCCCGAACACTCAAGAAATCTTCAGACGCTTTGTCCACGAACAAAAGTTTAAGAAGTACAAGAAAAGGCTAATTCGAGACATTTTAAATAAAAGAGTAATCAATACCGGAAACTCTATCCATAACGTTCCGTACAGTATTAGGATGCAGCATGGTGTTGATACGGACTATTTCCGATAATATCGAACTGTTTTAGTATACATTTAATTTACAAATATTTACCTTTATTTAAGTACTATTTTTGTTTTAGACAATAAAACAATTTTTTTATTAATGTGTTTTTTTTATAAAATTTATGGATAAATCAATTACTTATCTGTGAAGAAAATTCGAGAACTCTGACAGAACAGTTCTTTCGTAAGCTTTTTACGTGTAGGAACATATATGTCCAATACAATGGGCAGGAATCTACAGAATTTTCGAAATACTGCTAAAAATAGAATAATGTAATCCTGACTATCCAAAATCTCATGTGGTAAGACAATGTGCGGCGAACACCTACGCAGAAATGCACGGCACTTTAAGAACAAGAAGCACGTATAGTTCAACGTTTTCGTTGTGTATAAATATATCAAATTTAGCACATACTTTTATCTTATTGTTGTGTTCTTCTTATTAGGATGCCTGTCCGTTCCTAACGTTGGCAATCATTCTGGCTGTGATGACTTTGTTGGTTGCTATACGGAATAACTGTGTTGAGGTCTTTCTATACCATGCTCTCAGGTTAGTAAGCCAGGATATTCTTCTTCATCCTGGGGCCCTTTTTCCTTCAATTTTACCTTGCAAAATGCATTGGAGTAGCTCATATCTGGTGAAGAAGTACCCATAGTAATTCTTCATTGGTGACTTTGTCTGCCATGGTATCTTCAGGATCCTTCTGTATACCCATCGCACTTTTTGCCTTTCCGATGCGACATTTAATCTCTTGGGTATTGTCCCACGACTAATTAAGCATTCCAGCTATTTTCTTCACCTTTCGATGGACATTGAAGTTATCATATCGACTCTGATCCTCCTCTATTTCTTGACATTGTTCTGTTTTTTGTTTCTCTTTGGCTTCTCTTATCTTTGTTCTGACGATGATATGTATTCTCTTATATTCTTGGAGATTTTCTTTGCTTTTTTTTTCTCTAAGCCATAAGTTCAAGTATTTCATCGGTCATCCACGATTTCCATTTCTCAGTATCTTTCTTCAGGTCTTGTTCTTTTATTTTTCTCACTGTTTCTTGTATGATGGTCAGACTTACCTTTATAGTTCCTGCATTTTAGCACTTTTACATTGAGGTTTTCAGTCACCTTCATTCGAACATTGGTATCTTTCAGTTTTCTAACATCATACTTTTTCATCGACTTAGTTGTAATCTTCTTCATTCTGACTTTGAAATTACTTACAATATGATCAGAATTTATGTCTGCTATTTATTTATGTACAGCTGTTCCTATACCTCTTATATACTAACATGTAATCAATCTGATTTCTTACAATCCTTCCCACAGAATCCTGGAGATTTCCAGGTATACATACTTCTTCTTAGTCGTTAACCTGATGCAGGTTTCGTGATATCATGAAGCTATTAGCTAAATTCCCCAATGTTTCTCCACGTTTTTCTATCTTCTGCCATTCTAGCACATTCTGACAATGGAGCGCCAATGGTAGCAACAATATGTATCGTGTGGGAGATCTACCTCTATTTCTTTTGCCTTCTACTTTTCCCGGATGGTAAGTTTTTCAAGACCATTTTTTCGAAGCACATGTCCAAAATAGCTTATTATTTGTTCTGATATATGTGTTCTTAGTCTTTTCTTTATGTTTAGCTGGTCCAGTATGGATTCATTTGTTCTTCGGGCCAACCATGGTATTCTCAGCATTCGTCTCCAGCAGTACATCTCAAATACATCTATGTTCTTTTTGTCTTTCTCAGTAAGGGTCCAGCATTCCGATGCATAAGTAAAAACTGGAAAAACTAGACTTCTTACTAGTCTCATTTTTGTATCGGTAGTTATTTCATGGCTTCTTCCAAATTTTTGTTAATTTTGCCATAGCGCTTTTTGCGATTGCTGACTGCCGCTTTATTTCTTCAGTACAGCCTCCTTTGTTGGTTATTAATGAGCCCAGATACACAAATTTATCTACAACAGCGATATTGTTTATCATAACCAGATGATTTTGATTGTTGTTAGCTCTGTCAATTATCATGATTCTCGTTTTATCTCTGTTTATTTTAAGGCCCATCGTTAAGCTTACGTCTTCTATCCGTTGTAGCAGGTGAATCAATTCAGCTTCAGAACTAGCCAGGATAGTAGTATCATCTGCATATCTCAAGTTGCAAATCTTCTTCCCGCCAATGGTGATGCCACCGTTCCAGTTCTCAGTAGCTTTCCGCATTATCCATTCACCATAGATGTTAAATAGAATTGGGCTTAGTATGCAGCCTTGTCTCACGCCCTTTGTGACCCTGAAACTATCGGTTAGTTCCCCATTTATTCTAATTGTTGTGTTATATACTCTAAATTCTGTCCTGTGCTTTATCGAAGTCTAGAATACTCTTTTTACCCCAAATATTCCATGCACAGTTTCTATCGATGCTCACATGTTTTCGACATCCGGTAAACGATGCTTGAGGTTTTTCAGAACAGGTACTTCTCCTTATACAAGCCCGCAGAGGCTTCCTTTAATTATTAGTATTGGCGATCTTTTTTGTAAGCGATATCAGTGCGAATTGTAAGCGAGACTTAATAATGTAATTAAAATTTAATGATATTTGTAATTAAGTGTGTTTTTTTGAGTTAAAATAAGGTTAGTTAGACCACGTTTGCTTCAGTTAATATCTGAATCCACAGAAAAACAACAATATGAAGAAATCACTTTTATTTTAACACCTTTTCATTAACCTGTGCCTGTCTCGAATTTAAACCTACATCCCGATGATCTGAATCTTGAAATATAGTTCAGGACAGGTTAAGAACGCAATATTAAATTTATGTATACACCCATATAAATATATTATAAAGTATTACAATTCAAAACAAAAATCTTACCTGTATGGGGCTGTGCGTGGGCGAGAACTGTTGCGTAGGCGAGACAGAAACGGAAACGCTGCTGTAGCTGCAGCAACTCGAGTGCGAGGCGTCGCTGTTGTTTCTGCTGAGATTGGGCGTGAAGGTTACGTGGCGCTGCGTTAGAGGCGACTGAGTGGGCGAACTGAAGACACTGTATGCAGAGTGGACGGCTGAGTCGGGTGAAGGCGTCGGGGGAACGTTGAGACCTTTGTGCATCATGAGATCTTTATGGCTGATAATCGGCACCCCTAGAATGATTTACTACAATTAAGATTCAACGTATTTGCTGACGCAAAGATGAAACATTATTTGAGAGAGGCAAACACAGAACAAATTCTATAAGGGTTATAAAGTACCAACCTGTTATAGGGTGTCGTTGGCTAAGTAGAGGTGAGTTGCTAGGCGTACTATGTAACGAATAGTTTCCCATAGGTGGCTGCTTCAGTCTAAGAACGGGACTTTCTTTCGAGTCGTTAATATAAGGCGGCTTCGAAGGAGGAAGTGACAGATTTTCAGGTACCTAAAACAATATTGTTAGGTTATGTGAATGCACGAATACATTTATCCAAGAATATAATCAGTATCATCACGGGTTTCCCATGGATCTCATTTTGGGCTCCTCCTCTTATTTTGATAATTCTTCATTATGGAGCTTTTGATAATTTTAAATTCTAAAAACCATTGTTTTGCAGATAACTTAAATTTTTATTGTTAAATCTATAGTACTGAATACTGTATTAATCACCAAAAAGACTTTTCCAACTTGTCAGATTAAGCACAAGCTCATTCGTCATTGAATAAATGTGTAGATCTAAGCAATGTGTAGATTGGGATTATTTTACGTAATTCTAGGATCTTCTCGTCTCCACTATTCGATTGCCATTTACCATTTTAATAAAATCAATCTGTATAGTCAACACTATTCATCAATTGTGATTGTGGTTATTAAATCTTGCAAAATGTAATTAACGCATACATAGAAACATTTTAATAATTGAATATGAAGGTAAGAATTATCACTATTTCGTTCATTAATAAACAATGCACAAGAAAAAAATAGCTAATGCTCAACTGATGGAGTTTTAGCATTGTCATTCTCAATATTGCAAGCTTTTTGCTAAGGAAAAAATATTTGTGCTGCTTCTGGTGGCAAATACTTATACTGTGGACGTTCATGACCCTTATTCTAAATAAAACAGTTGCTAGAGCTTATTAAACAACACACAGACAGAAAATACTTGAAATAATCGAAGAATTCTACACTATATTATACACACACCAAATTAATAATAACGTCAATGAAGACGGTAGACAAAAGGTTCAAAACAAGGGATATGAGGACATTCCAGAAATTACTCAAGATGAGATACATTATGCACTCAAAAAAAAAAAAAAATGAAAAAATAACAAGGCGACAGGAGATGATGGAATAGTTACAGAAGCTATAAAACTTGGCGGAACTTCCCTTCTGAAAAAAAATACGATAATCGAGAATTACAGGCCGATTTTTCTAGTCAACAATTTATACAAACAGTACACCAGAAAAATAACCCATCGATTGGAAGCCAAATTGGAGGTATATTCAGCCAAGAGAACAGGCTGGTTTTCGCCCCAACTACGGTACAAATGACCACCCACAGTGCATAAAAGTTTTGATTGAAAAATCAATTGAATACAATAGACCTCTAATTACTATTTATAACTGGGAATAAGCCACAATTAAAGATAAAAATACGTTTATTGACGTTTCAATTTCCAATTCGGAAATCGTTCTCAAAATACAAATAGTAAATTAAACAAATTTTGTTTTTTGTTACATAGTGAAAAAATTCTTCTAATAATTTAATTTTGTCTGACTCATTTATATTGACAATTCAGACATACATTATGCATTTTAAAGTAGACGACTTTAAAATGATATTGCCAATATTGTTGAGTTGCGCTCCTGGGACGACTTTACTTATAAGATAGTTCATTCGATTACATGAAATCAACTTTAACTTGAGAATATCCGTCAGAAAAATCATAGCATGTAATTCGTCTTTAAAAAAGACAAACACATGACATGATGACAGTAAAATTCTCCTGTTAGTGATTCCATAGTAAATTATGAGGGAAAACCCAGGAAAAAAAACCTCATAAAACTATCCCGACATTGTAAGTATTTGTTCGTGAATTTAGTTTACCTTCAACAAACATCAAAATTCTGATTTTATGTTACGTTATTTAAAAAACATAAATGATGTATCCTCTATATGTTACTGACTTACTAATACTGGTATTTTCTTATTAATAACTTCCTCTTTCAATATTGGTAACCAGATCATAATAAGAGGAAGTTATTAATAAGAAAATACCAGTATTAGTAAGTCAGTAACATATAGAGGATACATCATTTATGTTTTTTAAATAACGTAACATAAAATCAGAATTTTGATGTTTGTTGAAGGTAAACTAAATTCACGAACAAACACTTACAATGTCGGGATAGTATTATGAGGTTTTTTTCCTGGTTTTTCCCTCATAATTTACTATGGAATCACTAACAGGAGAATTTTACTGTCATCATGTCATGTGTTTGTCTTTTTAAAAACGAATTACATGCTATGATTTTTTCTGACGGATATTCTCAAGTTAAAGTTGATTTCATGTAATCGAATGAACTATCTTATAAGTAAAGTCGTCCCAGGAGCGCAACTCAACAATATTGGCAATATCATTTTAAAGTCGTCTACTTTAAAATGCATAATGTATGTCTGAATTGTCAATATAAATGAGTCAGACAAAATTAAATTATTAGAAGAATTTTTTCACTATGTAACAAAAAACAAAATTTGTTTAATTTACTATTTGTATTTTGAGAACGATTTCCGAATTGGAAATTGAAACGTCAATAAACGTATTTTTATCTTTAATTGTGGCTTATTCCCAGTTATAAATAGTAATTAATTTACAATGCCACAAGAAAATAGCTTCAGAACAATAATAGACCTCTAGTTCTAACATTTATAGACTTCCATAAAGCGTTTGATACTATCGAACTACCCGCACTTCTAAAGACATTGGAAGAGTGTCGAATTGATCATAGGTAGGTACACCAATATTATAGAAAATGTATACAGAAATGCTATAACAACTATAAATCTGCACGGTACTACCAATAAGAGGGAGAGGTATTCGACAGGGAGATACTATGTTGCCTAAGTTGTTTATTACTGTACTTGAACATGCTTTGAAGTCAGTGGAATGGGAAAGTAAAGGAATAAATATTGATGGTGAGATGCTTAGTCATCTACAATTCGCAGATCATATTGTTCTGATTTCAGATGATCTAAAGGCTGCCAGTGACATGTTGAATGAAGTACGTAAAGTAGGTCTAAGTATTAACTACCAAAAGACAAAAATGATGACTAATTTAGTTCCGAGCCATCCTTTAAGAGTAGAAGACGTCGAAATTGAAATTGTTAACAGCTACATATACCTTGGACATACGGTAAAAATTAGCCGAGATAATCAAACTGCTGAGTTGCTAAGAAAGAATAACACTGGAATAGGCAGCATATGGAAGACTGCGTGATATTTTTAAAGGTAATATACCTATCAGCTTAAAAACAAGAGCCTTTAATCAGTGTGTCCTGCCTGTCCCTAAATATGGCGCAGAGACACTTACCTTAACAAGGACAACTACACGAAAACTACAAGTGACGCAACGTAGAATGGAAAGATCATTGTTAGGCATAACAATAGATAGGGTGTGACGATAATATATTTTATCGTCTAGAGTACGCCTATGTGTTAAACAAAACACGTTTTTGTTCCGTCTCGAATAGTATAAAAGTCGAAACTGAAAGACAGCTAATTATTCTCGACGCGTTGAGTTGAGAATATCCGACCTTGGGGACAGGTGAGTTGAACGTGTCCCAAATCCTTTCCGAACCCAGTCGATCTGGCGCGCTGAGCGAGATTGACAATCCTTCCTCTGACCGCGTCAATCTGGTGCGTTGAACGAGATTGGCGTATTCTTTCCATCTAGTGTGTTGAACTAGATAGACATCAATATCCCCGTCCGAGTACTCGTTCTGCGTTGAGGAGCGAGTACGACCTCAATTCCTCGATCGCCATATAGTTTATTATCCAGAGAAACAGGATTCCTTCATATAGACATTTATTTCGAACTAACATATACAAATGAAAAAAGGTAATTAACGTTAAGTGTTTACTGAATATAATGCTTAAATACAAGAACGTACTGTTTATTTATTTCGGTAGATGGGTGTGACGATATTCGATATGATAAACTAAGATATGGCGATCGAGGAATTGAGGTAGAGGTTCAACGCAGAACGAGTACTCGGACGGGGATAAGGATGTCTATCTAGTTCAACACACTAGATGGAAAGAATACGCCAATCTCGTTCAACGCACCAGATTGACGCGGTCAGAGGAAGGATTGTCAATCTCGCTCAGCGCGCCAGATCGACTGGGTTCGGGAAGGATTTGGGACACGTTTAACTCACCTGTCCCCAAGGTCGGATATTCTCAACTCAACGCGTCGAGAATGGTTAGCTGTCTTTCAGTTTCGACTTTTATACTATTCGAGACGGAACAAAAACGTGTTTTGTTTAACACACAGGCGTACTCTAGACGATAAAATATATTATCGTCACAAGGGTAAGAAACGAAGAAATCCGTAGAAAAAGTGGTATAGAATACATTAAAAAACACATAGCCAAAATTAAATGGAGGTGGGCAGTACACGTCGCTAGAATGAAGCAGGACACGTCGCTAGAATGAAAGATAATAGGTGGACCAAAAAAATCTTGAAGTGGACACGAGAGCGGATAGACGAAACCCGGGAAACTACCCAGAAGATGGACTGACGACATAAAGAGGATTTGTAGACGACATGAAGGTTTTTCGAGGAGGCCTATTTTCAGCAGTGGACGGCAAGGGCTGATTATGATGATTAAACCGGACTTATTATCTATATTATTTCCACAATGGCTACCAATATAACAGTATAACCACTTACCGGCGCCGAATTTTCTTCGTCGATGCACATCCCTTCTCTTTCTCCGTCTGACAGTTCCCCCTCCCAACTCATCGGCCTTGGAATGTCTTCCCTCTTTATTTTGGACCGCATGTTTACAGACTGGAAGTCTATTCTCGCTACCTCGGCGTCCGAGCTGTCCAGAACGTCCACAGTGCCTGAAACATCAACAAAGAACGATTAACTGGACGATATACTACCGAGAAAGTAAATATTCTTAGCAAAACGATTCTTCGTAACTAGTGAGTACTACAGATTGCTTAAAATGTCTGCAATTCTTTATGAAAGGCCTTACCATTTGAAATGAGAGCTGCTGGATGAGGAGCGCTTCTGGTCCTTTGCGGAGGCTCTCCGGGAGGAGGATATGGCTCCACGTTTATGGGGGTGACGGAGACGTTCGGAGACCGCATGTCGGTGGCCATTTTCTTCGAGATCAGCTCACCCCCTGGTCGGAATGCACAGTTGTTGGTATTGTGGGCATCCTACGGTAACGAGGCGGGTGGGGGGTGAATGGCGACAACGATGACGGTGATGGTGGTTTAGCACTAGAACAAAAGAATAGAAATATGCTTTATTGTCACTGAAAATTGCACAATTTTATGGACAAAACTTACAAAAAGTCAAAAAAAAACACCAATACCAATTAAAATTGACTAAAAGTACATAAATCGTCAGTATTATAAAATAAAAGATAATAAAATACACAATCCATTGCAAATTGCATAATAAAATCTTACGAACTAGTTTACGAATAAGTTTGTAAATAGATAAAGAAATAATAAATAAGACTTACAATCAATTTAATTTAACGATCCAGACGACCGGTTTCGCTTTCTACAATATGCAAAGCATCTTCAGGTCTCGATACAAAGTTAAATAAATGATGCCGGTACTCTATTAATTGATGGATTGTGACGATGTCCTCGCCGTTCAACAGTTAGAACCGTGGGAGTGTCAAGGTTGGCGCAGCCACCCACTACAGCAAGATGGTCAGTGGGGTCGGAGCGGCTATTTAAGACAAGTAAGTAATGGAATTCATCAGTCTTTGGCTTAGCGCCTTAGGCTCCTCTCTTCGCCAGTGTTCTGAACTGGCGAGCCCACCCGGACGGAGGTAGTTCCGCTTTGAGGTTCACGCTCCATCCATAATCAAGCAGAGTCTATCGATATCGTGTTTTGAACTTTATTGCGGACCTGCATAAGCGATTGTTGACGAGTGTGTTCGGAGCTCCCGCTGAATTGAAGCGGAAGCGAGTATAAGTCTGAGTGCGATTGACTTCTTCTATTTTATTAGTTTTGTTATTAATAATTATTCTTTTCTTTCTTTTGTAGACGTTCGCCGGTGATTCCTTCATCGCGGAACCCAGACGGAGCGCAGAGTTAATTTTTATGTTTATTTTTATACGGCATAGAATTTATTTTATTTATATTGTACATACATTAGACCAATAGATATATTTTTATTTTAACCTGTGTTTTACTGAGTCTGTCGTCCTGAAAGAGCTACCCGTTACAAAATTGGCGCCCGAGAAAAATTGAGGATTGAAAAGTTACTAAAAATTAGTAACATGCCGACAGATAAAGACACAGACTCAGTAACAGGTACGTCCTGGATAAACCGACTTTGCAAAGAGGAATTGCAGAGCGAGGCCGAAAAATTCGGCTTAGATTCCAAGGGAACCGTCGACGAATTGAGAGTACGACTCAGGACATATTTTAAAAATCGCGAGGAAGCGACAGGAGCAATGCAAAAAGAAAAAACTTCAAGGGAACAGAATCCGACACACTGGCCCAGGAAATTTGGGTATCCGAAGACAATTACAAGAATTAACAATAACGAAACAAATGGGGCAATCAGAATTGCTAAATCAAGTACGAAGGTGGAACACACACTTCGACAAGAAACATTCGGATGCAATAGAATTCTTAGAGAGGATAGACGAATTAAGCTTGGCCTACGAGATCGATAAACAAGATCTATTAAGAGCATTACCAGAGTTATTAGGAGACACGCTTTGTTATGGTACAGAAACAATAACAAAAATTGGAAGTCATGGGCAGATTTCAGCGAAGATTTTAAAAAAGCTTTCTATCCCAGAGGTATTTGCTGCAACTAGAGGAGCAAATCCGAAACAGAAAACAGAGACAAAATGAGCCGGTGGATAGATATATCACGGAGATTCAAACACTAATCAGACGAGAAGGATCGTTTTCCAGAAACCAAGAACTCGAAAGGATATACAAAAATCTGTTACCAGAATATAAGCTTTATGCTCGCCGCCGAGATTTTGAAAACTTAGCCGAATTACAAGATTTAGCCCAAGAATACGAAGCTCTAGAAGACGAAAAGACCCGATCAAATCAGAGTTGCCGTGGAAACTGGAGACGCACGGACCAAGCAGAGTACGATGCCAAAACGACATGCTTTAGATGCAAGATGCCAGGTCACATCCGTAAAAACTGCAAAAACCCGTGGAAAAAGTTTTGTTCGCGTTGCGGCAGAGAAGGGGTTTACAGCAACGACTGCTGTTTTAGGCGTCAGGGAAACGAATTACAGACTGGAGAAACAAGGAGTCGTCCCAGTCTGTAAAGCAAGATTCGACTCCATCGTTTTCGCCGTTACACAGCCAGCAAGCAATGACATTCGGCTGTTCGCATCGCTGAAAATAGGGCAAAGAACATACAGAGCGCTCATCGACACAGGAACCACTAAAAATTACGTCGGGGATAGAATAGCTAAGACATACAAAGACTCTCTAGATAGCTACAGCGGGAGAACAAGACTAGCAATGGAGCGTCAATGGAGCTTAACCAGAAGTTGACGATTGAATGCGAGATCGATAGGTTACAAACCCGACAAACATTCATAGTAATGCCAGGGTTGACGGAAGATGCCTTACTAGGAGTGGAATTCCTTAGGAACCATTCTATCGAACTTAAATTCGATAAACATACGACCAAACAATACGTACAACATCAAGAAGAGGCATGTAATACTTTAAAAGACTCCACCAAAAATACAGAGCTAGAAAGGTTTCTAAGAAAAGAACTAAGGGAGTTTGAGAACATAACAGGACCCACTAACTTAATAGAACACGAAATAAATTGAAGACAAAATGCGATCCAGTCAAACAGCCTTATAGACGACACAATCCCGCAATGCTGCAGATCATCAACCAAGAAGTAGACAAGATGTTAAAAGAAGGAACCATCGAACCCTCCACAAGTGGTTGGAGTTCACCGATTGTACTAGTTAGGAAAACAGATAACTCGTACAGGTTTTGCATTGACTTTAGAAAAGTCAACGAACTATCAGATAAGGACGCATATCCGTTACCCAGAATATCGGAAATTCTGGATAGACTTAAGGAAGCAAATTTTATATCAACCCTCGATTTGAAACAGGGATATTTTCAAATACCCCTAGAAGAAACTAGCCGCCCAGTGACAGCATTCAGCGTACCCGGAAAAGGCCATTTTCAGTTCAAAACCACCCCATTTGGACTGCATTCCGCAGGAGCCACTTTCCAACGCCTACTGGATAAGGTAATACCTCCTGATATGGAATTCGCGTTTGCCTACTTGGATGATATCGTAGTAATATCTAAAACGCTCCAAGAGCATTTAGATCACCTACAGGAAGTCTTCCGAAGACTGAAAGAAGCCAGGTTACAACTAAACTTTGAGAAATGCACGTTTTGCCAGTCAGAACTCAGATACTTAGGACATGTGGTTGGAGCAGAAGGAATAAAAACTGACCCGGAGAAAACCAACGCTATAACCGGACTCACAGCACCGAGAAATGTGCGTCAACTCCGCCGGTTCCTAGGAATAACATCATGGTACCGCCGATTTATAGAGAACTATTCGACAATAGCAGGACCGCTAACATGCTTCTGAAGAAGAAGATAAGATGGAAATGGACCGATAAGCAAGAAAACGCGTTTGAAGAGCTAAAATCAAAACTTACATCGGCCCCAGTATTAGCATGCCCGATTTTTCAAAAACATTTTACCTGCAAACAGATGCGTCGAACTGCGGACTTGGAGTCGCACTAACACAGAAGTACGACGGCCAGGAATAAAGTAATCGCATATGCTAGTCGAACCTCACACCAGCCGAGACAAAATATTCCACAACGGAAAAAGAATGTCTATCCATCGTGTACGGGATAAAGCAAATGAGGCCATATATAGAAGGATACAATTTTAAGGTCATATCAGACCACCAGTCCTCAAATGGCTGAAAAACCTTAAAAACCCGTCAGGTCGATTAGCCAGGTGGAGTTTAGAACTGCAACAGTACGATTTTGAGGTAATATATAGAAAGGGAGTCCTCAACAAGGTAGCAGATGCTTTGTCACGACAACCACAGGAAAACCAGAGCGAAGAACCAGAGTTGGAATTATTAGCATCAGAACTGGAATCATGCAGTTGGTACGATAATTTATATAGAAATGTACTCCAGAACCCAGACGATTTCCCGGATCTACAAATAACAAACGGGAAGTTATATAAACACATTTGGAGCAGCCGTAATTTAGCCGACCCAGAGTTTAATAACCCATGGAAGTTATGCGTACCAAGATATAAAAGGAAAGATATTTTGGAGGAAAATCATGACTCGACCACAGCAGGCCATTTAGGAATTGCAAAAACAATTTGGCCGAATAGCGCAAAAGTACTACTGGCCTAAGATGTTTAAACAAATCGCAGACTACGTTAGAGCTTGTACAAAGTGCCTCCAATATAAACCGTCCTCAAATGCAACCAGCCGGGAAAAATGCAAACCGTCCACTGTAGAAAAGCCTTGGCATACTGTCTCAATTGATTTAATGGGACCATTCCCAAGATCTGCAAAAGGAAACATTTTCTTAATAGTCGCGCAAGACCGGTTTACCAAATGGGTCGTCGCCCAGCCATAAGAGCAGCATCTACGAACTCCCATCATCGACACTTTACGATCGAAGGTAATTATGCAGTTCGGTATCCCGACGAAACATCATTTCGGACAACGGCGCGCAGTTCACAAGCAGCAATTTAAGGCGTTCCTAAAGTCCTATAACATAAATCACATTCTAACACCGCCGTACTCACCTCAATGCAATCCAGTAGAACGAATGAACAAAGTACTGAAAACGATGATAGCCACTTACGTAGAAGATAACCATAAAGACTGGGACAAATTCATACCAGAATTCTGCTACGCCGTAAATTCGTCAAGACACGATTCAACAGGGTTTTCACCAGCGCTCCTTAATTTCGGAAGAGAATTAGACACAACAGAGGCGACAAACGTACAAGATATAAAGGGGTATGCAGAAAACTTAAACAAGTTAGAAGCGTTAAGAGAACTGGCGAAAGTGCACATGGAACACGCTTTCGAGGACCAAAAGAAACATTACGATCTAAGACGAAGAGACTGGCGACCACATCCAGGAGATCGAGTCATGAAAAAGGAACACCATCTATCATCGGCTAGTGCAGCTTTCACCAGCAAACTAGCGCCGAAATACTCAGGGCCATACATAGTAACATCAATAATATCA